CCAACGGACTTTGATTCAATCACAGACTTTCCGGTCTACGAAATAAACGATTCAACAGACGAGTGCACTCCACCTCTCAATCCCACCAACATACCCGGTAAAATTCCTCCCACCATCCGCCGTTCTAGTAGAAATGTTGGCCCACCAAAATTTTACGGTCAAAGATATTTTATAGATGCCGTAGAAATTTCTCAAGAAACCTCTGGTTCAGCGGCCGATCCCATCGTGATAGAAATAGATGATACTCACGAGACTGATAACAACACGGCTCCGGCGGAATTAATTGTGCTAGATTCCGATCCACCATCTCCAGACCAAACATCCACCCCATCAACTGACAAATCACTGAGGATGGAACTAGAAAATTTTGGAGAGCATTCCGAGCTCGACAGTGAACTTTTTAACACAGAACTAGAAAACTTCTTAAATGAATACAGAATTTTGTAATCACCAAGCACAATTCCAACCGCTAAATTTTCTTACCCTTGAGTATTCCCTACTTTACAAACCGGTGCTAATCTACATGGAACTGAAAAGCTTTTGAGTACATTAATCCCTGCAACTAATCAATTCATTCGGATAAATTATCAGTATTTGGAAATATCATACCATACTCATAAGTTATTGTTCGGATTTACATCTACTTAGCGCGATTCAATTCAGTGCTTTCATTTAAAACCCGGTGATAACTTCGTCATATTTTATCTTTTATCTTACTTCTCTCTTATCCGTCGGATAACCGGATAACCATTTTTCCATTTTCATCGTAGCAGTATTTAGTGCTTTAGGGGTGCTTTAGTTACCCATTTTGCGGTGCTTTAAATTCTTTTCCTCGTCCTTAAAGGGGGAGAAAAGACTCTGACTCAGTTAGTTCGTATTCTTTACTTTTAAACGTAATTTAAATTTTTTTCCTGCTTAGAGGAATGTTGTCATTTACACCATGTTTTGCATCTGTTGCAAAACGTATTTAGTCTAATTAACTGGTCACTCCTATATGACCTTCATTGGCCATTCTCTCCGGCGGAGAGAATGATCGTTCATTGTTTTAATGTTTTAACTTACCGACTAATTCATCTTAATTCTTATTCTTTTTAATAGTTTTAACTTAGAATTAGCTACAACAAAGTAACATTTTATCAATATGATTTGTTAGTATGTGATAATCTTTCCAGCTAACTTTTCCAGTTTTTTCTGTTTTCAAACATTTTTGGTGGCGTTCACATGTTTTTGAATTATTTTTGGGGGCGTTGTTAAACATATTTTTGGGAGCTAAAATAGAAGTGTCCAAAACAAAAAACGATTTGAAGGGACTTCTTTTCCACTTTTCAAAGAATTAAGCTTCGAAAATGCTTTCAATACAATTTAATTAACTGCTTTTGTAAGTTTTTGCAATCAAAAAATTATGACGGCAATTTAGGGGCAGTTCATTTTCTTTAACTGATACGGTAACCGATACCCGTGACCAGTTGCGGATTTAGGGAGGCGGCGGAGCGCGGACGCCCCCTTCCTCAGGGATTCGACCCCCTGCCGACCCAAAGTGTCCCTCTTTGTACTTTTTTGAGATATCAATTTTTGGCTGACTAACCCTAAAAATTTTTCAAAGCGCCAATGGCGCCAATCTATACTTATTTTGAGGGGGGAGCGCGCGCCGAAAATGGTCAAAATTTTCCAAAATATGTCTGAAAACGCTTTTTTTGTCTTTTTTTTTCAAAAAATTGGTCAAATTAGGGTCTTTATAGTGGTTTGCTTAAGACAATCTAAAAAAGAGGTCGACAAAATTTTCAAAATATTTGCGAAAATCCGCCCCCTCGAGAAATTTCTCGACTGCCCGTGACTCCGCGCCTGACCGTGACTGATATGCGTGACTGATACCGGTAACTGATACCCGTGACTGATATGCGTGACTGATACCGGTAACTGATACCCGTAACTATAACAGAATTTTCATTGTTTCTTTTAATAACTTAGATTTTGCGGCTTCATCTGCTTTTAGTTTTGAAAAAATCTCTTTGTACTAAACCATAATGTGCAGTGTAGTTGTTGGTAAAAATCCAAGAGAGGGGTCTTTTTAGACTCTGAATTCAATTTAAAAAGCAAAGCGAAGTAAGTGAACACAATTTGGTGGGAACTTGAACAAAATATGCGGCAAACAACGAAGCTAAACCTTGTTTCACTAATTCTATTAAACAGTAAAAACATTATTGGTTAATAGTTATCGATTAATTGCAATCAATTGGTCAAATTAGTTTTGCTTTTTTTCATTGGTTTTTCAAAATTTTTGGTTTAGTTCAATGTCTACAGTGGACCCGTCTCTGTGTGGCTTACCTATTTTTCAAACATATTGTGAAAATGAAAATATCCGTTTTCGACGAAATTTTTTTCAAAATTAGGAGTTGTGTTCAAAAAGGAAAAAAGAACATTATTTTTATTGCTACCCTTTTTGTAAAGAGTTTTGAACTTCATTCCATTTTATTTAGTATAACGAAGGAATAAATTGCATACCTAACTGCTAAAAAATCCTTTCAGTTGAGATACAGCTTGTTGATTCCTTCAATGCTCCACTAGAAGCTAAATCGCAATTGGTAGTTACAATTGTGTATGATAAATTTTTTTTATTAAATCTTGTTTCTCAAAGTTTGAATTCGAAACTTAAAAAAATATATACCTGTCATCGTTTTTCCTTATGAAAGTTTGTTTCGACCAAACTTGCATAACTGATTCACTTAGAATTTCATTTTTCTGTAGAAACCTTCAGTGCGATTTAAACTTTATCAAACATTAGGACACCAAGCTAGGTTTTATAACTCGGCACATATTTAGGTTTTCGCACGTCTGGAGTCCACGAATACTTTTGTCTGTATTTCACAAAAAAGTGATCGTTACAGAAGAAACCGACGAGCATATCAAGCAGTCTTCTCAATTTGTTTTTTTCAGTCACTGGATTCCATAATCTTAATTTTGATTGTTTGAATGCAGGTATCGTCTTTTTTGTTAAAATTTTGTAAGAACGTAACTCACTCAACTTTTGTTGCGATTCCCCTTAATGTAGAGTTTAGAATTTTTTGGCAGTGGATTCCGGAGACAAACATGTTTTTGCAGGTGAAATGGATTCCATTGATCGCTAGACGCCACCAGTTTTCAGTAGATTCAGTTTTGATTGTTTGAATGCAAGTATGGTCTATTTTAAAAAAAAAAATTGTGAGAAAGTAACTCGTTCAACTTTTGTTGTGGTTTCCCTTAATGTAGAGTTAAGAAGTAAAAATATATCAGTGAATGAGACAATTTTTCCACAAAAAGTCATAAAGACCCCAATTTTGTTTCCTCTTTTTGCGCATCATGCTCCCCCCCCCCCCTCACAATTTACAACAATTGCTGGAGAAGGGGGGTCAACCTGAAGGAACTTGTCTCACTTATTTAGTTCGCTCAACCGATCAGCTAAAAGAAAATTATGCGGAATGAGAGGGTTAATTGTTTGACATATTTTTTTCTTGTAAACTGAATTAAGGGATGATCGTTTATTTAAGTTATAATATACGTTCAACACATTTGTACGTTCAAGGTACAAAATCGGGTGATTAAAAAATGGTTTCGATACATGTTCAAACAGTTAAAATATTGCTTGCGGATTCTACTGAGCAAAAAACAACTTGACTGCGGAATCCACAGACAAATTTTGAAGTCCAAAAACGAAAAAAATTGAGTGCGGAATCCACTGACAAACAGTTCGCTTCAATTTACTAGTACAGCAAAAACGCGTTTTGCCGCGGGATCCAACGCAAAGCATATCTCAGCATTTGTCTTCAAAATCCGCCTTGTCACTGAATTCCAGCCTTTGCTCGCTAGCAAGTTCTCAGTCTTAGCATTTAGTGCTTGAAATTTTTTCTTTCGATTCTTTCAGATTTCCGATTTCAAAAACTTTTGGAAACGTTGCGAAATCTGACGCAAATTATGCGGATTCCAGGGACATTGTATGCGGAACCCGAACCACTACCAAAGTACCCGAGCTTGGCATTGTAATGAAATTTTACCCGAATTGATTTGAAGTGAGCTACTTGGTCCAAAATATGCTGTAACAGAAACAAATTGCAACACTCATTATCTGAAAATACACGTTTTTATTTTGCTTCATCCTCTTGTATGACTTGCTGTTGTAATTCACATTCTTTGCTACTTGAAAATTCACCGGCTACTCTTTCTTGTGGCAGATTTTTTGGCTGCCGATAAAACTTTATGCTGAAAACTATGATAGCTGCAAAAAAAACTTCTATCTACTTGAACTTCCCCGTTTTTTTTTCTCAAGCTTCATTGGGAGACGACTTGTTTGTTCGTTACCGTTTATATACATTGCCAGAGATGAAACATTTTGAGCTTCTTGAACAGCAATCAGCCACTATTGACTTTTTGACGTACAATTTTTAACCGATAACAATTTTTGTCAGGATGACTTACAACAAAATGCTTTAATAGTAGCGAAAAAAACTTTTGCTTCAATCAAAATTTTCTGCTTCCTGTTTTTGAAAGTTTCAAAAACGTTTGCATGAAAAATTTTGAAAACTTGTATACATTGTTTGCACTATCATTTTATATTTAAAAATAAATTGCCATGATGAGAACACTTTATTGCTTTAACAGCTAGCTGCTACGTCTTATTTGACAGATAACTATAAAAAAATTTCGCGTTTGGCCAACTCTCAAAGAGTAATCGTATGAGTACCAAGGGGCGGATTTAGGGGGAGGGGGTTTGGCGGGGGACGCCCTTCCTTCTCAGAGGTTCGACCCCCTGCCGAACAAAAGGGGCGATAAAATTTTCGATTTTTTTTTTTTTGGAAAAAGAGCCCCCCCCCCTCAAAAAAATCCTAGGTCCGCCCCTGTGAGTAGTTTCAAAATTGTTTGTTCAATTTTTTTTGTTTTCAAAGTTTTTATAGGCAAAAGAGCATGCGATTCAGTAAAAAAAACGTACCATTTTCTTAATATGTAATAAATGCTTTATCTTCTGTTAGGAACAAGCTATGCGGGTCCTTGCTACTGGGGCGAGTTTCCCCTCTCCTTCGCTGTCTGCCTGGGACTAGAAGACGCCTTCATCTGGTTACTCCACCGGGGGGCATCTCCACTGGCCACGGATCTGAACGGAAACAACATCCTACACATGCTAGTCATACACAACAAACTGGTTAGCTTCTCGTCTTTGATAATTATCCTTATTTCCCGTGATAATTAAAATGAAAACTGTCGGTGAATGCGAACGTGCCCACATGTGCAGTTAGTCATTTGATGAGACGGCATCATCAGCCAAAGAACCTAATCTAAAAGCATAATCAAATATTAAAAAGAGAAAAAGGGTCTACGCTTGAACAATCTCTATTAAAAAAAAAATTTTTAAAACTGAATCTGATTCAGAACATTTCAAGGTAAGTTCAGTGAAGCCAAATGAGCAGCGTCTATAATTTTTAGCAGTAACGGATTAAGGGGGGCGGACGCCTCTTCTCCCCCCTCAGGGATTCGATCCCCTGTCGACCCCAAAGGGTCCCCAGTTTGTACTATTTTGAGATATCCATATTTGGTGAAGGACCCTAAAATTTGAGATATCCATATTTGGTGAGGGTCCCTAAAAATATCCATATTTGGTGAGGGATCCTTCGACGCCAACCTATACTAATTCTGAGGGGGGAACGCGCGCAGAAAAAACGCGATTTTTTGGTCAAAATTTTCCAAAAAGCGCCTAAAACGCCTTTTTGGATTGTTTTTTCAAAGTTTAGCCTGCGGCCGGCGCAGAAAAAGTGGCCTAAGCAGGGACTAAAACGTGCTCAGGGAGAGCTCAAAAAATCAATTCGGTGGTCGACCTAAAAAAAAAAGGTCGACAAAATTTTCGAAAATTTATTGAAAATCCGCTCCCCCCCCCCTCGAGAAAATTCGAGAAAATCCTAGATCCGCCCCTGATTTTTAGTTCGGCCAAACATAAGTCCACTTTCAGGAAACTTTTTCGCACAATTTGATGCAGTAAACCTTGACATTTCTCCTCCAGGAAATGTTCAAGTGTTGCATTGAGCTATTGGAAGACGAGACTCTGAGTGAACTGATGGACGAAAGGAACAGACAAGACTACATCCCCTTAACTCTGGCCGCCTTCTGTGGCAGACAGGAGATATTCAAACTCATCCTGTCCTACCAGTCCAAGGTGCTCTGGATCTACGGGGATCTGCATGCCGTCGAATATCTGCTCACAGACCTCGACACTGTGAGTCATAGTCATTCAATTAAATCAGAATCATATCACAAGACCTTTATTAAATTTGCTTCAATCACAGAAAAAAAAAACATAAAAAATTCCAGCTGTCTGGAATTTGTTTCAGCTTTTTTTTGCTGTCAGAAGTGCCAAGTTGTCGCTAAAACACTCTGTGCTGTCATCAAAGCACCTGAGTTCTGTTTCATATTTGGGTTTGTTTTGTGTTTCAGATTAGGCCAGACGGATCCTTGAACAAACATTCGGCACTTCATATAATCGCCATGAACTCAAAGGTGAGACTCTGAAAGGTTAATATTAAAAGCAGAAGCGGTTTCAGGGAGAGGGGAAGGGGGGTCTTGGTTGCGGACGTTCGGTTCCGATAGATTTGACCCCCTCTCTCTACACGAAGGTACTGCTTTATGAGATTCAATCTGAGATTATGAGATGATCCTAAAAACTTTTAAAAGACGCCTCGCGGGTCAAATATACGAATAGCGCCTATCAAAAAAAACGCAAAAAAAGATATTTCTAGCATTCTCAAGTTTTTATTTGAGAATCCACCCCTTTGATAAATAGAGCCCCTTCGATAAATTAAAAACTAATTTTTTATATTTTTAATTTAAGAAACTGACTATTAATAAAAATATCAACTATAGATTTGATTCAGTATTTTATTAATGAGCATGATTTTGATGCCTCGAGGTTCAAACGTCTGTTAGCTTATCATCGACTTAGATGCATGACAGCACCAGTTAGGCCATACTTACGAAACACAGGCTGCATTTTCCTTCAACACGACTCAAACCCCCATCATTTTCTCATCTTAAAAAGATGCTAGGACACTTCTGCCATGCTTCCGGACTCTCTTCCAATGCTGCCCATGTTTTAGGACTCTCCGCAGCACCTGGACATGTTGAGTGGGGTGATGCGGGAACTAGTGGACTGGAAGTGGGATCTGTTCGGACGCCAGATCCTGCTGGCGAACTTCCTCGTCTACTTCCTCTTCCTCATCTCATACCTCACTGGCATGTACATCCGCAAACCGGCTCCTCCCACCGCCGTAAATGAATATTTTATACACATTCAACTGAGTTTTTGTTGAAGCATTTCTGGCAACCAGGCCTTTCAAGAACAGCAACCTCAATTTCGCCACCAAACACAGTAAACGAACTTTTCATACTCATTAACCTGACAATGATGCTCTGTTTTTCGAGAGATTTTTGGTCAACAAACTTATCAAAAACTGTCCATTCATTAAATTAATATTCCTTGAGAAAAACACTGGATACCAAAATAGTTGAAAGGACGGTTTCCATCCGGGTTAAGACGGACATGCTTTCTTAGACATACCTCATTTTTAAATCCATTTCGAAAATAATTTCCGGGTTTTGGGGCGAGTAGAAATTCAGAACATCTTTTACCAAATGTCACATGATTTTTCTATTATTTATTTTTTGTGATGCTTCCTAAACAGGCCTAGAAAACTAAAGGTAACTGTTGTATTCTGAAATTGAACTTTGTTTTTGTTTCAGAGTGGCTCGGAGAGTTCGTCCAGCTGCTACATCCGAAAAGTAGAGAGCCACACCGACTATGTTAGTTTCCAGTTTCATGAAAATTTTTTCATATTAGGGTCGTTTTAGTGTTTTTGGAAAGCTCTCGAAATCAATTTTAAAACATCGTCAACATTTTCGAAAACGTTTTGAAAGTCAGCCCCCCCTCGAGTAAATTTTAGTTGCGCCCCTGATGATTTTGCTTTTACAATCTAGTCTATTTCAGAAGCTTTGAAGCTCTCTATTCGCACATTATTTTTTCATGAGTCAGTGTTGTAAAAACTCACATCCTATAATGCATGTTTGCTTCTTTTAGGTCTTGTCTGGGATTGAAGTGTGGACTTATTTACAGTTGTTGTTAAGAGTGGTGGTCGAGGTCAGACAGTTTCGCACACTTGGATGGAAGTTATGGTCTAGTGATCTAGTAAGTTCCAGAACATTCTGGATGCGCTGGAATTAAAAGTAGATGATTTCTATTTCAAGCTACTTTTTTTAAGTTTTATTTGTTATTTTTTCTTTTTCTTCTTGCAGTAGTTTCTATCCAAAATTTGATTATAAAAATTGCAATTAGAACTAATCCACTCCTTAGAATTTAAAAAAGAACTTCACAAAAAGGTATAAAAAACTAACCTTTTTGCAAGCAATTTTTATTACGAAAAAAACTCATATGGTTCAAGTATGATTTCGGATTTCAAAAGAAAAACTGATACCTTTCCCACTTTTTTACAATGATAAATGTAAGTGCTACATTCGGTGTAGCTTGTAGAGGATCTGATTACCCTTGTTCGTGTTGAAAATTGTTTCAAAAAAGTTGTTGTCTCTTATCCGACCGATGTCAACCCCTATCCAATTTACCCTATTTTGACTGAGAGGCTGATTAATATGCCAAATTATCCCCAGCAAATTTTGAAGAAAGCGTTTATCTAGCAAAAATCAATTATTTTGCAAATTGCACAGAATGTTTCAATCAGTCGTAGTCATCATCGTAGGCAACAATTTTGGTATTTCCTTGTTTTCGCAGGTGCTGGCTCCAACCAAGATCAGTTTTCTGATGGGAGTATTCTTCCTCATCCCTCTTTCCCTGATGCTGAGGATCATCTGCCAGTCCAAACTAGAAGACTACGTCTGCATGCTGACTGTATTCTGCATCACACCTCACATACTATTCTACATCAGGTATTATACTTCATGTATCGAATCAAAATGTTCGTATCTCGATTATAAACGTTATTTAATAATAGTGTTTTCTCATTTAAAAAATCATGCAATTTCACACGAAGCAAATTTAATGAAAAAAGGACCACACAGACAACGAGAACATTAAATATTACAATGAAAGATTTTCAGAGAATATGCAGGTGATTTTTTGAAAAAAAAACAGGCCAAAAATTTTTTAGACCCTTTTTGGACTGTTTTGACCAAAAAATTGAGTTTTTTTCTGGCAGGCGATCCTCCCTCAAAAGTAGTATATATTGGCGCCCTTAGAAAAATTTTAGGGTCAGTCAGCTAAAAATGGAATCAGCTTCTGGGTTTTTGTTAGTTATACACACTCTAGTAAAATATTTCCAACCAGGGGCTGATCTAGGATTTTCTCGAGGGGGTGGGGGGCTTTCGGATTTTCAAAAAATTAATTAATTTTTTGAGCTCTCCTAAAGCAGTAAAAAGACGCTGGCTCTTTTTCCTTCCCCCCCCCCCCCACCTGCAAATTTTTACATGTAAATTTGTTGACCACATTGTCCGATTATTATGAAAATTTACATACAGACTAATAAGGTCACGACAAACATATTTGGTCTTCATACTCAACCTCGTAAAACCCCTCGTTAAGCTCGTGTGAGGTGGGGGGGGGGGGAAGGAAAAAGAGCCAAGACGCTGCTTTGGCCAAATTTTCTGCGCCGCAGGCAAATTTTTTGAAAAAACAGTTAAAAAAAGCCGTTTTTGGGCACTTTTTTTGGGCAAAATTGCGTTTTGTTTGGCGCGCTCTCCCCCGTAAAGTTAGTGTATATTGGCACCGAAAAGTTTAGGGTCGGTCGCCAAAAAATGGATTTCTTAAAAATACCAAAGAGGGACCCTTTGGGTTGGCAGGGGGTCGAATCCTTGAGGAAAGAGGGGATTCCCCCCCCCCCCAAATCCGCCCCTGTTTCCAACATTATAATGAGCTGTCTCAACGGTTAAGCATATGCAATTTTTGTGCCTTTATCGACAGAGAACTAATTCAAAAGATAAATGCTAAGTCACGGATTAAGCATATTCTATTTTAGTACCATATTCAAATACATAAACCTGGACGACAAATTAAAACTAGGTTTCCCGGTTTTTTCCAGGAGTACAAAGTGTCTGGGCCACCTGATCACAGTGATGTACAGGGCAGTGACCGATGACCTCCGAAGATTCTCCATCATTCTCTCCATCCTCCTCACTGCATACTCCCTCGGAATGACAGTCCTCTTCAAGGCGGGACAGGAGGGGGAATCGGGAAGCCCCTCCCCCTCCCCCTTCCACAATTTCTCCCTCACTCTCTACCTCAGTTTCTGCATGGTCATGGGGGAGGTCAAACCGGTACGCATACTGATAGATTTTGATGTAAAATTGCAAATATTAGTTTGTTGTTAAAAGCTCTTTTGTACAACTTTATGAGGTTGAGGTTGCTACAATAAATATAACATAGCTTTCGCATAGTTGCCATAGCTTTTGCATATAATTATCGCCATATCCTCATAGTAACAATTTTTCTATGAACGAGGATTAGGAAGGACCAAATGTCGGAGGCTTCAAAAGTTGATCTGATTATGTTTAGAGTATCTACGATGCAATCAAGGAAAGTCCCTACCCGTTTTTTACCCAGGTGAGCATAGTTTAAATGTCCATTCTTATCAACAGCCCAAATCCTACACTTTGGAGGCGGGAGGCTGCTACCTTTTTGATCCCATTTGCAATTTTCAGCCAATCAAAATCAAGAGCTTTTCGCTCAAAGCGCTATTTTCCAGACAATTTGAGAGAATAATTGTTAATTGTTCGCAAAAAAAAAACGAAAAATTTCATAACTGTTTGCATTGAAAATTCTGAAGTAGCATTTGTGTAATCAACGCTGATGTGTTTCAGTGCTACTGGGCTATCTTCTTTGTGTTAGCTCATCTGTTGCTCGTGAATGTGTTAGTGGCGATGGTATACGAGACATTCCACGTGTACAAACAATCCCACCACGAGTGGTACAAAGAAGTAAGTTTAACTCCGGCCTACACTAGTTTTATACTAAAAGTGATTTTATTATGTGCAACCACCTAAGTTACAGGGCAGAATTTGATGGCTTCTGAATAAATTGTTGTTGCTGGTGATTGTGTCGAAGAAAAGGGAGCACGCGCAGTAAAAACCGCAACTTTTATTCAAAACTATCAAAAACAGCCCCAAAAAGGAATTATCAGAAATACCTTAAAAAGGAAGAGTTCGAAAAACGTATTTATTTGGTTGCCTCATGAAAAGCCGGCAAAATTTATAGAAAAATTCCATTTGACTAGTCTTTCAGTCTTCCAGTTTTAGTTTTCATGAATACCCCAGTAATGATTAATAAAGATTAACAACACTGCTGATATCAAAATGAAGCCTAGAGTTCCGGAGTGTCCGTTTGGTCTCAGGAAATTTATTGATCCTGAGTATTTTTCAAACTTTTTCCCGCCGTGCAGATAAAATCAAGTGAGAGGTGTTATAATTTGCGTTCTATCGAGAAATATTGGATCATTTCATGTGTATCAATTAAGAAATTTTAACCTTATTTGCTTATTAGATTTTTTTTTGCAGAAAACGAGCTTTATTTGTTGATGTGAAAAAAAGCTCAAAGATCTTAAGTTTTTTTCATACTTTTTTCTAGGTTTAGGTTTTCACAAAAGAATAGTTTTTTTTATATCGGTTACTGAGGAGGTGAATGTCAAAAGTGTTGCACGATTAATAACAAATATCAAAAAATCGTTGTTTCCGGCTATCACTCAAAATAATATTCTGGTCCCCATACATTCATATCCTTAAAAAAGACTTAGAAAAAAAACAGCCAAGGAAGCTTTCTCTATAAAAATCCGCGAAATAATTTTTCTTTTTCTCTGTCATCTTCGACGTATTCTCGGCAATTTAGAATAAATCGAATCATATAATAGAGTTAAAGAAATTAAATGGGTAAACAGGGTGCTAATTATCATGAAGATTGCTTGGCCTAATCTAGCAATTTAATAAAACTAATCGCCTTGAAAAACAGACCAATTTAGACATTTTGCGAGTTGTTTTGTTTTGTTTTAAAAAAAATTGCTTTAGAAATAAAGCCTTTTAGATTTTTTGATGCATTTTTTCAGTAATTCAATTAAGAGCGTTTGAGAAATACAGAGGGTTATCCAGTGAGTTAAACGGTATCAGCTTATAACACATCAAAAATTGCATAAACTTTTAAAGCTTTTTTTAGAAATTTTCGTTCAATAATTAAATGACTTTTTTAGTAACTGATCAATTAAATGATTTTTTATGTAACCATTAAATGATCAATTAAATGACTTTTTTTAGTAACTGAAAGCTGGAGTGTCAAAAATATCCCACGAGTATTTTTCAAAAATATCACACGAGTAACTATGGTAACTGAAGACGGGAGCGTCAAAAATATCACACGAGTAATTAAAACTATTACAGGAGTAATATCACACGATTAATTATAAAAGTCTTTAAACTTCTTCCAAAATGTTAGTGGATTCCACTGACAAAATTTCCGCGGAATCCGTGCTCAAATACGTTTAACCTAATTTTTGTTGGCACATTACTTTAACCGCGGAATCTACAAAATGTGAGGGAATTCCACACATAGTAAGCGGAGTACGCAAATGCATGCGGATTCCACTTACATTTTGCGGATTGGGCTTACAATTTGCAGATTCCTCTTTCATATTGCGAATAATAATTTTACGATAGATGTATTTATTGACTATGCGTTTATATACAACTGTAGCTACTTGTTCGTGGAATCCAAGACAACCAAGAAAATCAAAGAAAGTTAGCAATATTGCGGATTCCGCGACCAATCTGTTTTTGACTAGTTTCAGATTCAGCTTACAACTCACAAAATAGCCAGATTGGGTTCTCAATGAAGGTTGAAAGAAAAAAAAATTATTCATTTGTGCAAAGATAACTAAAACTAAATTTATTGTTAAGCCCAATTAGCAAAGTAACAAAAAATTGCAAATTGAACTTTTGATTTTGAATTTTTGTTTCCAAAACTACCAAAATTGTTCAATGTCTAAAACATAATAGCAATTGGCACGCTTTCCCAATCTCCAGTTTTGTATTGGAAAGCGCCCAAACTTATATTGCTCATCTTTTCTCCGTGGTTTGTGAAAAAACGGTATTTGTTTTTCATTATTGTTGCTGACTTGTTTTTGCCAAACTGATATCTCCTCATTATCGAAACATTGTGCAATTTTTGTCAGATATTGTATTATGGCTAGATTGAGAAAATTTGATCAAATAAGATCTTAGATCCACTATTCAAAATGAGTCAGCCTGACTTCGGCCTTTGAGTTGCACAAAGGCTCAAGGATTTTTGAAAATTGATCGAAATTAAAATAAAAGAAAAGAGAATTTTATACTTACAACAAAAATTTCTTTTTTTTCGCGCAGCGAACCCGACTGGTTGTGATGTATGAGTATCTGTTGACGGACCTGTGTCGAAAGAAGGTTCTCCATCAGTACTCCCAACTGGCCAAGAGACCCCAGAAGAGCAAAAGCGTCGTACCCTCCCAAGTACCAGCAGGACAACGGACCTCTAGCGGTGACAAAAATGAAGTGCACCCAGAGAGTAATTCTGAAGAGATTTCTTCCACCAAAAGCAAGAAAGCTGGACCCAAGGAGAGAAAAGTCACAGTGAAACATTATTTCAGGGTGAGCAAAACAATTGATCAGTTTATTTACTTCTTTAATTGTCGATTTAAATTTTGATTAGTCTCTGTTATTTTTTTGTTTCAGAATGGGAAAAGCGTGGGTGAGATTCTTCCCAATGGCGATCCACGGCAATAATATCGGAAAACTAGCTCAATGTAATAGTTATTGATAGTAGTTAAAGTTTTGGCTAATTATTCTGTTAATAAAGACAATCCTTAATTTGCTATCAGCTTAGATGGTCAGCGAAACCTTTTCTGGGTAGCTAGTAATTGGCGCTTGGCAAATAATTTTTTGTTAGAAAAATAGTTGCTTCAATTGAATCATTTGCTTAAACCCAAACCCAATCAATTTCTAGTCCCATAAACCATTTCCGTAAATACCTTAGAAGAATGAAAACCAGTCAAAGAAGTGTTCAAAAAATCCATGAGATTCTTCTTCTTCTTTGTCATCTTCGTCGTCGTCTTCTAATTTGTCGTTGAGTTCAGTCTCATTCACACCTTGATCATCATCTTTGTTGTAGTTTGCCGAATTAAGTTCACTGTCATTCAAACTGTTCAGCCATTTTTCATCCAGATCGCCATTCTCAAAAATTTCTTCAAGCTCTTTTTCCAGATCACTTTCATTCTCAATGAAATTTTCAATCTCAAGTTCACCTTCATTTTCGTCGTTATTTGTCGAATTAGTCGCATTGTCATATAATTCACTTTCGTCCATTTCAAAAGTGGAAGAGTTGGAATCTGAATCGTCGTCAAATTCAAAAATATCAGTTTCATTGTCGCTAAACGATCAAGAAAAACTTTAGATTATGTGGCTTCAGACTAAAGGCAAATGCTTAAATCCTTTATTTATTTTTTTTTGCAGACGCGTTATATATTTTAATTATTTGGTATTTATTTTTCACCTGCAATTTTTTGAGCCTTGATTTTTTGTGAGCCACAGATCTAAAGTATTACTCGCTATTTTCGTCAGTTTCTGTTTCGTTATAATCTCCGTAATTGTAATCTGTCCCATTAGTATCAGTTCTGTTTTCCAAATCTTCATCTCCAGAATCTAAAGACGCCTCAAACTCATCCAAGTTTTCCAAATCAGGCATCTCATAATCAGTTTCATTCAATGATTCAAACATATCAGTTTCGTTTCTGCCAGTGTCAAGAACAAATTTAGAAACTATGGCTAATCGCGGATATTAAATAATCTGACTTTTAACTTAAAACCCATTCCTCAAATTTTTTCACAAATTATTTATGTGCATCGCACATAGAAATCAAAGCCTCAAGATATTTTTATTATGAAAAAAAAAATCGTTGACTCCTTTTCGCTTTTTCCAAAAAATTTTGTTAAGTCCATTTTGTTATAGCAAAAGTTTAAAATCCATTTTGCACGACTATTTATTTTTTGGTAACCCAACTCTTTTTTACATAAACATTGAGTTTTTCTAAGCCACAATTTTACTTAATTACCCGCTGCTATCTTCAGGTTCTGTTCCGTTATAGTCTCCGTACTCAAAATCAGTCCCATTGGTACTGTTATCGCTCTCCAAATCATCAATTCCATAATCCAAAGAATCCTCGAGTTCATCCAAATCAAGAATTTCGTAATCAGTTTCGTTCAATGGTTCCTCGTCCTCAGTTTCATTGAAACTTGAGTAATTTCCGTCGGATGTTTCGTTATCAGAGTCAATGTTATCTACATCTAAGTCAGTTTCCCGGCTACTAAAACCTGAAGAACGCTTAGCCTTAAAACGGATCTAGAATTTTACAAAATTTTGACTTTTTCCGAGTTGCATTGAAAACACTGAAAAAAACTGTTCCACATGAACTGCGTTGCTTTATACTTCTTGTCCTTATATGCCGATTTTTTTCCTTCATTTTTAATGATGCTCTGGAGAAACATAATTAGGATTTTGGCATATTATTTTTCTATTTTAATAATTTACTGCCAATAACATAGAAGAATGGAAAAAAAACATAAATTTAGTCAAGAAATCCAGAAAAATCATCTGAGATTGTCAGATAGTGTTTCAATTACATTGAAAAGAAATTCTGCAAAAACGAGTTCTCACTTAAACTCTAGCTTCAGTGTTACGACAGTCTAACTGCTTTGGGCTTTAACTGTGGGGACAAAAAATTTTTTGTTTTCAAATTATTGTCGTTGTTTCTGCGTGGTGTGATAAAAAAGACCTGAAACAAATAGAGCTTTGGCATATTCGTCAATAACAGTAATATAAACAAAGTGAACAACAGTTTTTTTTAAATGACTAGCCAACAAAACATTTTTTTTGTAAAATCAATTTTTTTACTGAATTTTTTTTTTTAATTTTATTTCCAAAATGGCTCTAAAAAACTCCAAAACTAATTTTATTTGTGTAAAACTAAGCAGTAATAAATTATTATAACCGGCTTGAATTGCGCAAAATACGCCTGCTCGCTTGCTTTTTTTCCTCAAAATTAAACAAAAAACTAAAAACTTCAAATGCGTTTTTCTCGACATTGAGACATTTAAAAAAAAAATTTCTAATATTTTTCGAATCAAAACTGAAAGGCTTTTATAAGATATATCATTCAACCCGTTCCGATGATATTTTTTAGTATTTAAATTTGCGTTAAAAAATAAAACTCAAAAACACTTTTATTCAAAGCTCTTTCCCATTTTTACACAACAAGACGTAGTGTATTATGTCGAAGATATTTTTTCTGAACTAAGACGCAAATAAAAGTGCAATTTAAATGCACTAGATATCAATTTAATCATATTTAAGTTTATTAAAGCACAAGAAATTTAATGGAGTGTATTGCTGCTTTAATTTTGACTAGAGAAAAACATGTATTATGAAAACGAATGGGATTTGTTGTTTTACGTTTTTTTTGTGACAGTGAAAAAATTTCGCTTTTTGCAGAAACTGCAATTTCAAAAAAAATAGTACCATTGGAAAATTTGGCAGCTCTTTTATGTGCCTGCGTGTTCTGCTAGCCTCTTTTCTTTTTATTTCACGTTCTACGGCCTTCGAAAGTTTCAAAGACGGGATTTTAGGCCTATTTGTTTTGAATTTTTCATTTTCTCAAAAAATTAATGCACAAATCTTCGATGAATGATTCAATCAAAAAGTAATTATGAGGATCTTACCGTCTCAAGCGGATATTCTCTAAAATTGGTAAAAAAAAGTTATGGCCTCAAACAAGTCCACTTTTCGAAATTTTGATTAACTTTTAAAACTTTTTGATTTTTCTAAAAAACTACCCTTCGAAATTGAAGATTAAGGGTTCAACCGAAAAAAAAGTTATGCGAACTTTATCTACACAAGCGGCTATACCTTGCATTTTGCAAAAACAGTACCTTACAAAATGTCTAATTTTTGCTTTTTGCTCGTTTTCTAGAAACTTATAAATATGAAATTCGAAAATGTTCTTTTTTAATTTTTTATCGTTTTTGTCAAGAAAAGTACTAGCTAAACCTGATATTAAGGGCTCAATGCAAAAAATCAGTGTGCGGAAATCTTCAATCTAAAAACCAGAGTGTTAAAAAAAGAGGCTTTTTTCATGCTTTAGCATATATGTTACCATGCTTTATCCTGCTATAATATTATGAAGAGGCTATTATCCTTCAGCAGAGAAACACTAGGGTTCAAGGTAAAGTCCATTTTTTTCAAATTTTTAAAATTACGCATTTTCCGGATAAAGACAAAATATGATTTACACATGCTAGAGCAGGTAGATACCGCATTAGCTGGGCCATTTGTTAACTACCAAGCAACCCCGGCGCAGATGCGAAGACGTGAGACAACTATTGAACAGCTCGGATGTTCAAATCCGAAACATTTAAATAGTTTTTTTTGGTCGAATTTTTTCTGCACAGCATTGGCAGTTTGACAGAATCCGTAGCTGCTTTATTGGTGGCTAGAGTTTACACAAGCGAGCTTGCGAGCGTTACTGTATTTGTATGAACATTCTTTTTTTTAAATCTAGCTCGCAAATAAATGTCTTCATTAATTGGTAATCAGTATTTGGTGGTATTTTTCCTATAATCACGATCTGTAACATTGGTAATTTCGTAGTTTTTGTTCTCTGCTTTATTATCTTTGCATAAAGCAAGGATAATGCAATCGGGAACTCGAATTTTTTCCCGAAAATAATCCACAGATTTACAGGCAGTACATGAACGACATGCATGCAATACAAACGCCATGCATGCATTACGTTCATCTTTTTTGCGCCCATTGGTATTTTAATTTCACTCTGCATCCTTATTAGTGTTTTCCCAAAAAACGCAGGTCAACATTTTTAAATAATGCTTCTTTGGTACTTTTTGATTTTTCGACTCTGTCGCTTTCAGTTTATGTTTTGTCGGCTTAGTTTCCGCTTTGTTTTTTTTGCAATATATTACGTCGCTTATTTGAATGTTAAAAATAGAGGTAATCAACCTAAGTAACTTTCCAAACTTAAAATTGCAAACTTATAATGTAAAGTTTTCATTGAAGTTTTTTTCGACCAAATTCATCGCCTTTTTTCAGTAGAATTTTTCCAATAATTGGGCAAACAATTTCTACAATTAGTAATTTTTGTTATATCACTTTCAAGAGGCGTTATATATTTCATCGTTTTCTGGTAATTTTACAGCTAAAAGTTTATCTGTTAGAATTTAGTTGGAAATTTTTTTCAGTGTTTTGGGTTTGTGTTTTCTGCTCTTTATGCCAAAAATGCGAGTTAATTTTAGTTCATTTATATGACTTGTTCTGAGTAAATAAAATTTAATTTGAAATAGATTTAACAGCGTATTGTTTTGACAAAGTTTTTCGAAAAAAAATCATCAATTTCGAAAAATATTCATTAATTTAGAAATAATTCATCAATCTCTAGAACGTTTTATTTTGCAACTCTGATATGACTGGCTCGTCTAAAAAACAAAGTACCATTTCTTCTCAGAAGTTTTGTTTTTCTGGCTTAAGTTTTTATCAAAAAAAAACCTTCGTGTTTTTTATTTTATAAACGGGCGTATTTTTGTTGTAATCTTCTTTATCAACTTTTCATGTTTGGCAAGTGCGATTTCTTTGGAATGTTTTTATAGATGTTAAAAATTGTTTTAGGTTTTCTGGAACTTTTTTTAGTGAGAATATTTGCAGATTTTTTTTGCAATGTTGGTTTTCCGATTTCGATTTTCAGTTTAATCTTAGTTAATAGCAAGCAACAGATAGCATATAGGGACTTTTCTTATCCTCAAGTTTGCTTGTAGGACATGCAGGTTGTTCGGTTGTATGATTTTAAGCAAAGTTTTTGAATTCAATCAAAAAAATTTAGACCATTTGATCAAGTTTTTTTCTCATTGTTTCCAGTTTACTTGTTATGAGAGAGAAATGAATGAAATTTGTGTAGTCCGAATCCTTTCAAAGTTTTAGGTAACTGATTTCTATGGTCGCGAAAGTTGGTAGAGGTCTTTTTAGCCATGAAAGTGTGGAAACGTTAGGTTTTGGTCGCATATGCCAAAAAAGTTTGCAAAACTTTGGACAAGCCAAAAATTTGACGAAAAAGTCCAAACATTAAATGCGACAAAAATATAGTCATATTTTTTGTAGTCTCAAAAAAGGCCGAGAGGGCTTCATTTTGTGTGTAAGAGCATATCGCTCATTTTTAATTAATTATTTTTCTGCGAGGAGAAACAAAAAAAAATTTGCGAGGAAAAACAAAAAGTTTTTTCCTTCTTTTTCTCTGGTAGATTATTATGGTAACATAAAACATCAGGCGCAATATCGAAAAAATTAGGTTCTGAAATAGATTTGTCTTCAATTATTTTTCATGTTGAAGTTATAGAGCTGAATTTTGTCGTGTTCTCGCTAGTGCTTGCAGAGTGCGGCTTTGCATCTGTGTAGTAAAACTACTAGCAGTCGTGGAGCAGATATGAGAACGTGATACTCCTAATCTCAACAAAAAAAATTTCTTAATGTTTTCCTAATTTCACTTTATTTTGCCTGATTGAAGCACCTGATTGAAGCACTTTTTGCATTTTCGTCGCTTGTGTTTGCGAAAACTAGGAGCTAAAGATGATTAAGAAATATCCGTAGACACGCCAATTAGATTCAAGATAGTTTGCTTGCGACTAGAAGTGGCTGAATTGAGGTGTTTTCATTCTAATTTTGGAAGACACTAACTGAAGATATACTTGAAATTTTTAAACTACCATTTTGTGCGCGATTTCAGCTGTCTTCAGAATATTCTGCGTTAGTTGCCCAGCACTTGGCTACCCTATTTAATTTGTGTTAACTTCCTCTTGCTCTGCTGCTAGAGCAGGGTTTTATGGTCAGTGATGGGATTTTTTGTTGATGCTTTTTCACTTGTGAAATGCATTCGTACAACTCCTTAATGTCAAATTGATTGTTACTTTGACTTTTAAACCCAAAGAAATGAATCTTGTTAAACTCATTGGCTTCTACCATTTGATACTTTCCGTTCAATTGTTTGAACATTTACGCTCAGGAGAAAGGACGAAAAAAAGCTGTTCAGAATTGCAGCTGAACTTCTGATCAAGACCTGCAATCATATTAGTTTTTTTTTGGACTGAGAATTGTTGATTCACAATCAAGAATTGAGTACAATAGCGATTGATCTTCAATCAATGAACTTTAGAGTTGTGTAGAATTATTATTATTATTCAACCTCAAATTTTCAACCTCAAAAAACTTTTAGCAAGAGTTGATAATTAGTAATCGTCGCGATGTGAAAGTTCATCACATCATAGCAAAATCAATCAGTTTTTTCAAAACGATTGTGACTGCAGAAAAAATCAAGTTTTGAATAACATGTTTTTTTTCTCATTTTTGTCAACATTCTGTAAACAATCTGTTCATGCTATTTTGTTCAATGCACGTCGTGTTCAAGGCAAATTGAAAAAAAGTCGCCCTTTAATGCATATTTTTTTTCTTACCTGTTTGACAACTTGAAATCCATAGTGCTAGAACTGTCCAGCATAAAATTTTCCGGCGCATTTTGAGTAAAATAGTTCACAATGATATGATTTGGTTAAAATAGAATGCGCTGCAACTTGGTTATCCCAAAAGAGTTTTGTTATTTTCTCGCTGTGGAAAAATGAAATAAAATCTGCTGCATCCTGCCAATAGAAGTGAGCACTCGGCAGGCAACAACACTTGCGCTTGAGCTTTCTTTAATTTTTCATTTTAGTTAAGGCAGATTTCAAAAGTAAAATTAACAATTGATTATTACGCTTGCGGAATGTAGATTTTTTTTCGGGTCGGAATGTAGATTTTTTCGGGTTTACAACTAGTTTAACAAAATTTAACTTCTAGGTGGGAACTAGTTACTACAGGGTAGTTTCAGAGGAATTTACAAAATCACTTTTTTTTCGGCTCAACTGGTGTCTGCTCAAATTTATCGGCCTTGTTTCCGCTTAGTAAATTTTGTTCAGTGTTGCTAATTTGAATTTCAAAGGTCTTGCTTGGCACGTTTGCCTAGAACTCCTGTTTGATAAAAACAGGTGTTATGATAGTGTATGGGATTGGGAATTTTATTTTATTTTTTTGCGACGCTTTGGAAAATGTTAATATTTTTTGCATAAAATTTAGTTTTTTTTTCTCAAAAACCATTCTACCGATTTTCAAACAAGGGATGCCCATAGAAAGACCGCCTACAGTCTTGTGTACCTGCATAGTCCCCGGGTCTCTTTTTGTTTTACCCTTTGTCTATCGCCTTCTAAAAAGTCTACTGCTTCCCAACGGGTTGTGCGAAGGTCTTCCGCATTAGCGGTCACACAAAATCTTTTTAATCAAAAGTTATAAGCCTCGGTAAAGTCATTTGTTTTTATTTTTAAGCGTTTTTTTGAAATTTTTTCAATTTTAACAAAAACTATCCTCCACTATCTGAGATTTTGGGTTCAATCCAAAGAAATGGTCGTGGGAAGCTCCGCAACTACGCCAAGACATTTTTGACAATTAAGAATAATGGCCCTCAAAAAAATCAAAGTTTTGATTTTTTGAACAGATTTATATATTTTTTTACTTTTCTCGAGAACCATCCTGCCAAACCTGGGTTTCGAGAACCATCCTGCCAAAATTTAATCAAAATCTTGTTCGGTGAATATTTTCTGCATAAGCGGCTACGCTCAGTTTGTTTTTAAACTAAAAAAAACCATAAGTCTCGGAAATGCTAACTTTCATGATTTATTGACATTTTTTGGTCTATTCTCGATAACTATCCTGCCAAATCTGATAGCAAAAGTTTTATCAACAGAACAGATTGTTGGAAGCTTACCTTTCTAATTTTATATGCCGAGTTTTTTCAAGAATGACGTTGAGATCTTCAAACCAGTAAAAGTTTTGAATTTTTGACCGTTTTTTGGAGTTTTTGTGTCTCTACTCAAAATTACCGTGCCAATTCTTAGGTTAAGTCTTCAATCAAGAAAGCCGATTTTGCGAATCTTCTTTGACTATTTTTCTTGCAAACTAAATTTTCTTAAGAAAGACCCTAACAAAATTGAGATGAAAATTGCAATCGAAAGAAGCGGTTGCTCAAAGTTATCCCGCAGAAGCTGCTACTTCTTTATTTTTTAAAAAGAAAGTTTACATTTTTGGGTACTTCTAACATCTCAAGTTTTTCGCTCTTCACACAAATTTTACTAGGAAAACAACTAGGGGCAAAAATCGAGGCAAACAAAAATTTTGTTTTGCCAGTTTTCAAAAGTGAAAGTGGTGTTAAGCTCCGCCTAGCCTCTGTGTTTCAGTCTGGTTTCAGGTAATACCTCCAAGTTGAATAGTTGCGATCAGATTTTACGTTTGCGAAGGTCGCAAATTGGGTAGCTAAAGTCTTGACTAAACACAATTTGGTCGCCTCTCTGGAATATACCGAAAATCTCTAACAAAAATAGCCAAATTTTGACTGAATTGCGATTGCATGATCCTAAGAAGGGCTATGAGGGAAACCTGTGCGATTTTGAAAGCCCGGCCGAAAACGATTACCTAGTTTCACTCAAATTTCTGAGAAGCAATATACAACTCTGACCATGAAACTTCTCAAAATATAAGGAATCAAGACTGAAACAACAAAAACAAGCCAAATTAGGAAACGTCTGTAGCTTGCAAGAAAAAAATTGCATAAATTATCCAAATCTAAAAGAATCAGAATTTCAGAAATTGGCCTTCCCTTTGCCAGCTCTGCGTCAATCGCAACCCCGCGTCAAACTGCGCCGTGGTCGCGAAAATTGGGAGATGTTTTTTTTCGTACAGTTAAAGGGTTGACTCACATTATCACGCACTGGCCTCGCAGTTCCTTTGATATTAGAAGCGAGCCTTTGGCAGGAGATGGTGCAACCGCATATCAAATAATTTAGGAAATTGGTTAAAGTTTTTAATCGAAACTTAAGCTTCTCTAAAAGCTTAACTAATTCGGTTTCAACGCTTGTCCAAACGGTAACTAATAACTCCTTTTAACAACTACGTTTGCATATTTTGTTGATCAACTTAATCATTTTCGTTCATCACTTTCACAAAACGCTGACATAACAAAATAAATTCAAAAAAGCATCTTTGTCTGAATGACTACAGTTTCTGTACGAAAAACCAGCTTAACAGAGGCCTTAATGTTTATTCGGAAACTGTAGAGGAGTGGGTTATTTGGACAAGCAACGGAACTTCGTCCTCAAAATCGAGCGTGCTCATTTACCAAGCCCATCAAACTTTCAATCTAAAAAAATTGTCAACGAAGTTCTAGAAAAAACTTTGAACACTCTCAACGTTCCTCGATAGCTTGCCTTCAGCGCGCAATGAACTTGTAGGCGGCGCCGAAAAAAAAACGTTTATATATTTTTGGTCTATAGATAGGATAGGGCAGTAAGCTGTGAAACAATGCCTAAACAAAAACATCTGGAGAGCATCGATGAAACTCCAGAACCTCTCGAATGAAACCACAACTCTAGTAAATTAAACAGTAGAAATTTGTTTTTGAAACCCTTCCTGTGCTCTCAGACCGACATCTGTCGTTTTGACGGAAGTGTTTAGAGGCACCAGATGTTTTAACCAAGTTTGTTTCAAACCTGGTGTAATTCAAAATAAATTGAAGTACTTGATATACGATCTGCTGCTCAAAAACATACTGATACTTCTGAAAAACGTTTTGGCTCGTACGAATAGTTTGAAAAAATAGTAATTGTTTTCGAAGTTGCAGTTCGTAATGCCTTTTGATAGAAAAACGTAGGCTGATACAGAAGTTCCATTTTTTTCTGTTATAAGCCGGGCTGTAAGGCGCAGAAACATGAATTATTGCACAAGCACATGAGCAACAAAGTTTTTTTGCCTATATGTCAATCAATTTTTTGGCAAAGTAATTTAAAGACACTTACACTTGTGCCTGTCACTAAAACAAAACTTGACATTGCCGGTTGGAAAGCTTTTTTTTCTGGTGCTCTGCAGAGAATTCTTTTGCTCTGCTAATTTTAAAAAGGAGCCGAAAAAATCCAAAAATTCAAAAATTATACAGAGAAAATGATGGCCGGAAAACCGATTAGACAGTTGAAATCCAACATTTCAATCGCTAACGGGAAACTGGTGGAAAATGCGAATGACCACATCGAGACAAAAACTCGTTCTATTTTGTGCCTTTAATGTGCACTTATCACAAAAATTTATGCATGGTTTGTATGTTTTGATATTTGAGATAAATACGGATCATTGAAATTTCCCATTTTTAAACAAATGAAAAAAAAAATTTGTATCTAGCCTCTATAGTCTAAGTTAGCCGATTTGTTTTGTGGTGAATTGTTCAAGTTTTCAAGGGAGAATAGTCCTTATTTGAACTTCGCCAAAACTGATGTGGCTGAGGTGTCTAAACAGCTTGAAAATTTCGAGGAAAACTTCATACTTGTTGAGTTGATAGTTTTTTGTTCAAGGATTATCAAAACCTGAAAAATTGCCATTAGAACAACAAGAAAAAAACGGCATTCGAACAACAAGATAGTTAAGCGTGAAAAGATGGGAAATAAAATCGAAAGTAAGTTATATTTATGAAAATATCTGCATTGATTAAGAAAGTATCAGAGAACCGTATCAAGTTGTTAAGCATTGCACATATTCTCTATATGCTGGCCAGTTATCGGTCCTGGCAAATGCAGATCAGTGTCGGCCTGGTCACTATTGACGCGGTGATCAAAGTTCGTTCAAGCCATAACTTGTTGATGTCGGGGTGGATAAAGAACGGCTTAATGAGTCATCGGTTTTTTTTTTTATACAAAATCGGATAGCTTTTCATCGTTGTACGCATGCTAATGGAACAGCTCCCGTTCAGATCATTGCCTCAATTGCATTTTACTGTGACACATTACTGTTTCAATTACTGGGTGTTTTTTTTGTTAAGTCAATTTGAAACTTTTTCTTTAGGTCTTAGTACGTTATTTTTTGTCAACTGAAAGAGAATGTTGTCATTCAAAAATTATCATTTTGCAATTTCAGCTGTCTTGTAAAAATTCTGCGCTGACTGATTGCACAGCGATTGGCGACCCTATGTTTTTTGGTTTACCTTACCTCTCCCTTGCTTAACTGCTTGCACAGGATGTGATAGTTCTAGGTGCGTTTCGTGGTTGATGCTTCGAAATCATTTTTTTCAATGACAAAATCTGTGTCAGAATTTTTCATTGCAATGCAAAAAAGGAGAAAAAACACAACTTAATAATTTTGCGAGAAAAAACATTTTTTTTCCTTCTAAATATTCGGAAGATGAATATGGCAACAGTAAACTCTCGGGACAATTTAGCCAGTTTCAACTTCGAGCAATCAGCTAAAATGAGTGAGACAATTCATTAAGACGGATTTTTTTTTAGTGGCACCAGATGTTATCAGCGAGTTTTGTCGAAAATACATTTCATTCTTGAAGTACGCTCTGTTGCCCTATAAAACTCATGAAATTTTTGAAAAAAGTTTTGGCTGCTTAGAGCAGTTTGGAAAAAGTAGTAATTCATTTTGAAACACCGGTCGCATTATTATAAGAAAACAGCAGTCTGTCACAGAAGCTCAACTCTGTTTTTTTTTCATCTAGGTGAGGCAGTATGACGCAAAAGTACGGAAACTTG